TAAGTCTTCCTCTTTCAACAACCCATCATTGTAATTTATCGCACATGAAATGACTTTAAGTGTTAACACCATCAATGCTCCTACATATTAGAAGATAGTGCTCCAAAGTTAACCAACATCTACAAAGTACTACAGAAACATTCTTTAGAGGACTTGTGACAAAACTACAGAAAATCTGATAAAATCATTTAAAGGCCAATGTGGGAACATATTTGTAATTACAACCCATGAATAGGAATAAACAAGGGTTGACATTCATTAGAACTCAAGACTCAAGAGCAGCAATAATAAGATTTACCTAATTTATCCATTTTACCGAATAATCAGGGATAAACCAAGTGAGCAGCTACCCTCTTGAAAATTTCAAATTATCATATATTTTAGATTTTTTTCTTCTATTGATAATCTATTTCCGCCCCCTCTTAAAATTTTAGAAGTTCACCCCCTAGCATAGGATCCTACGTCCGTCCCTGCTAGTAATGGGATTTTAAAGAACAACTTCTTACACGTGAAAGGAGAAATTCCAAACATGCTTACCAGTAGCATCAATGCCTCCTTCCTTCCACGCATCCCCACTCATGTAATATACATGGCTAGAAACAAACACGAATAATTGACAATTATCAAAACAACAAAATAAGTGCTTAGAAATACTGAAACACCAAGCATGAATAGTCAATTTGACATGAAGCATGGCCAAAACATAACGTTTTTGGCAGACCAAGACTTCCAAATGGGCAATAGATTTCATCATTAATTAATAATATTAAATTTTAACAATCTTCCCATCCGATTAAACTCTCATCCATCATAAATTTTCTTATTCATGGGAGGAGAATGCATCCCAAAAATAGAAAGCCCTTCTAAAAACCTGTACAATTGGTCCTAAGAAAGTATCAGTTAGTATCCGAGACATGCATTGCTGTTTAACGAAAACTGAATCATAATTAAGTATGCAGGCTAACCCAAAATTGAATCTTTCTCACATTTCAGCTCAATAAGGTGAAGATGAGAATTTTCCTGGAAGACTTACCAGCCAATCAAATAACCGAAACTGGAGAAAAATGTGATAATCCCACACTTGGGGCGACAAAGAACCATGGCGACATAACCCACCAGTATGGGCACCAAGAAAAGCAGATTCGAAGAGACCCCAAACGACAAATAGGAAAGCAACACACCTGAAAAGGCTGAGTAAACGTGCTTAGGAAGTCTACCCGGAACAAATCGCCACAGGAAACTAACCGGAATCGTGGCCACGAAACACAAGAGGAACCGGAGCACGGCCACCGATACACCGATTGAAGCCGCCACAGTTTCCATGTCAAGCTCCATTTTTTTGGTTCCCTTTCAAATTAGATTGCAACGTTATAAAATGTGAAAAATATTGGGTAAATTACATGATCTGTATCTAAATTATTATTTTGTTCCCGGTATTAAAAAATTAACAAAACTATTAATGTGATATTTTATTATTTTTAATGATAATATGATATTATTTTATGATGACACTTCAATATCATATTTACGTTTTTAACAGTGAAGTATTAAATTGAAACCTAAACTAAACGTTAGATATAATTTAAAAAAATAAAATTTAAATACTAAAATAAAATAAAAAAAATAATTTAGATACTAAATATATAGTTTACCCTAAAAATTTAGATGGAAAGATTAGGAAATATTTATTTATAAGTGACATTATATTTGTGAAGTACGCCATGGGTGACGTGCTGTGTTGGATTGTACGTTTATTTCAAAAGGGTATATGCCAGAACGTACAAGAAGGGAAGCGCGGTAAATGGACAAAGGTGATGATTTTAACGATGATGTTTGAGTGGAGAAAATCGACTGGTAAGAAACGACAATTTGGGAGTATTGGTTTTGCACTTTTTCCTCCAAATTATTGAAATATTTTGGTTTAAAAGGATTTTTTAGTGTAATTATTTATATTTGATTTATTAATCGATTAGTTTAGATCGGATAATACAGAGGCGATGATGATCCTTCCAATCCAATTTACTCCATTCACAAACGTATTAATCGATTGATTTAGATCGGATAATACAGAGGCTAGAACGATCCTTCCAACCCAATTTACTCCATTCACAAACGTCAAAAGTAGAGCATCTAACCTTGCTTAAAGAATTGTATGCCTCATCCTATTATACAAATTGGTTGTTAGTGGTTTAAAAAGTTAATTTGTCCATTAAAGTATACATTTATCCAATATGATTTTTGATCGAGATGTTCTTCAAATTATTTTTGAGATGTTTTATCTTTTAAATTATTAAAAATGATTTTTGTTGTTTTATTTTTCTAATGTTAAAAATACTCAATTAATAAGAGTGTGCTACGTTGATAATTTTAATTAAATGATTTTAATGAAATGGGTAAATGATGAATTTTGTCCATAATATAATAAGTTCAAGTTTCGTTCCGGTGGTTGAGTGTTAAGTTATTCTTCTAAATGTTATTAGTTCAAATCTCTTGTTTTATACAATATAAATAAATAAATAATATTCAATTGAATTATAAAACTAAAAATAAATTAGATCCAATTTTGGATTAAATATTTTTTAGAGATTAAAGTGAAAAAAATCTATAAGATTTAAACTAAGATTGAAATTAATTAATATTAATAATATTCTTAAATTAATTTAGATTCTCACTTTTGGGGTATGCGGAGGACCCGAGGAATCGATACAACACCTGTTTGGAGAGTGTCCCACGGCAACAGCAACCTGGGCTGTTTTAGTTAACTCAAACCAGAACGTGTAAAGGAGTTCATGGAAATGGAGACCAAGAATTGGATACGGATCAACCTAGGTAAGCCAGGATGAAGAAAATTGGAATCTACCGTATGGAGAAGTTTAGTGGTCGCTTTGGCTAAACTAAAATGCAAAAATATTCCTGAAGCGCAGCCGGCGATTACAGTACGACTGACAGGCAGCGCTTCTGTCTAAAGTGAAGAAACCATGCATGGAAGCACGTGAAAAAGAGGAGACAACAACGTGGACGCCACCTCCGCAGGGATGGATAAAGATCAACACGGATGGTGCACGAACGAGCAACGAAGGCCTTGCATCGTGTGGGGGAATCATACGCAAAACCTCAACTAAGTCCTTATAATTACTTGTTTTGGTTAGTTATTTTCTGACTTCATTAATGAAATTATAAAACATCATGGATATACATAAATGAAATCAACACATTCTTCGTTATTCACGTATTGGCTATTTTCTACTAATAAAACAAAATAACAATTTATAACATCATATACTCGGATCTCCTCATGTCTTACTTTAATTGTGGATACTAAAGCATAATTTAAACTTTTACTTGCTTTACTTTATAATATAAGCTCTATGATTGAGACTGACCAGTCTTTTTGAACGAAGACTTAAAAGCCCTTCATGAATTTTAGTCACAATGGACTAACAAGTTCTTGATTTTCTTATCGGTATAAATAAACGAGTCCTTGTACGAGCATATTCAATCCTATGGGACAGATTATTTTTTTCTCAGTTTAAAGGCCAAGAAATTAGTTTTAGAAAAATTATTTTTTTTAAAAGCGAGGGGACCTCAAATACTATTAAACCCAAAAAAATTATTGTTAGTAAAATTTAATCTCGTATATATTAAGCTAAAAACCTAGATGTCATGTTTTTCTATTTTGTTTAATTTCCAAAACAATTTTAATGAAACTTTTGAAAATATTTTTTTATGTTTTCAAATTCACTTGTTTTGTTTTGATTTCCTAGAAAATAATTTTCTAAATTTATAATTAAACACGTTTTCTTTCACATTTTTTTAAGAAAATAACTTATATTTTCCTTTTTAATAGAAAACGTAGATCACTAATTATATCAAACTGAGGGACTGGGGATATCTCTCATAATGAGGTCCCAAACGGTCAAAGGAGGGGACTCCAGTGAAGTAACAGCAGTGCCATGAGAGGTTTCAAATTTAGAAAGGGCGTCCGCTACCATATTGGCTTCTCGAGCGATCCAAATAACTTTCGTTTCCCATCTTCTTCTGCGTAAGTTTTCAATAGCTCGAACTAATATCCATCAATTACTACATCGGTAGCTTCAATGAGGTTCATGGCTTCCTTGTTAGGGACGGAACATCGTGAGGTTATTTTGTTTAATATTAATTAATATTAAAAAAATAAAGAAAAATTTTCCAGGACCCTTCAATTTAAAAAAAATGTATTTATGAAAAATAAAAATACTTTAATCCCGCTATAATAAATTCATAGTTCTACCCTTTTCCCGTAATCAGTTTAGAGAATAACTTATATTTTCTAAGATCAAACACATCCTATTTAAAAAAAAAATTAAATATAAATAAATTGTTAATCGTTTACTACAATTAAGTTATATATTTAATTTCAAAATTTAAATGCAACACATTTGGATTTTATTTTTCATTTTAAATTGGTATTGCTAAATCAAATTACATCAAATACATTCAAAGCTTTATAGTATATATTAACTTTACATTGTTTTATATTGTTTTATTTTTCATTTAGATAATATATATATATATTTCCCAAACTAAGCCAATTATCTGGGAATGTTTCTAGCCATGAAAAAGTGATTTTTCATCTCATAAATAATGTCAAACACCCAAAAATTGATTTAAAATCATGATTGAAAAAGTAAGTTTCAATGTAACCTCAAAAGTTCAAATTTTTAGATTTTAAAGTGAAAAATCACTTTTTAGGTGACATTATATTTTTATACTCAATTATTTAATTTTAATTTACAACATAATTTCTAAATTGAATATTTTATCTTTCTAAAATTACTCTTTGACAACAATCCAAACAATTAAATTTTAAATTTTACTATATTTTTAAAAGTACTTTTTTACGCATTTTCCAAAATTAAAATCAAACCGGCGTGCTTGAATTCAAACTTCTGTTACTGCAGCAAAACAAAATGAATTGAGCTAAGGCAACTCAATCCAATCCATGAAAAAGTATACTAAGTAAGTTGCTAAGGGTAAAATTGAGGTGTTGCACAAACCAAGTCAAAGGAGAAAAGCAGAACATATTGAATAGGATGCCAGTTCTAGTATAGTTTTAAGTCCCTCTGCCCCCTTTCTACATTGCTTCCACTGTGCTATGTGTTCCTAAGCAAGCTGTCACATCATTCCAATTGTGCACAAAGACAGAGAACTGCAGCTTAGATCCTATAGCTAATTCATGGGTGCTAGAATTTAAGTATCCCTACCGCGCTTTTTCTCATCAGGCCTTTTGTGACCATGTGATCTATGCCTTGCATGATATTTCACCTCCCGGTCTTCAGAAGAATCAGTCTCCTCATACCTGTGCCTCGAATGTCTGTGTCTTTTTATATCTTTTTTATCTGAGCGCTCAGAACATTCGACAGGATTTCCACAATCGTCGAGTCCAATGACTTCGTCCAGGTTTCCTGAGCTTTTCCATCTATTATGATGATGGCTTTCTCCGTCACTGACTCTACTCAAGTGCTTTACATGTGAATCTGCAACGTGAGTTTTGTTCTTGCTATGGTGACTTGAGCTTTTGCTTCGGCTGTGGTGTGTTTCGCTGTCTCTGTCTCTGTCTCCATCCAACCGATCTCCATCATCTTCTTGAGTTTGGACACGACTGTCTCCATGGTCATCTCGATATTCCCCTTTACTCCGATGCCTTCTCCTTTTCTTGGTCTGACAATGGAGATGTTCTCTGTCCTCATCTCTGTTCCTATCAGCCATGAATTCTGGTGAATCACTCTGCCATTTTGTCCTTTTCTTAGCACGATGATGACATCTAATTTGATCGGTATCTCTAGTGCAATCTATGTCACTATCTGAATAACCTGCATCAGAAGTGGTATCAGGGATTCTCTCACTGCTTTGTTCCAGTTTTGAACTTGTGCTTTGTCGATCACATCTTCCATCTAAACCTTTACTTTGTTTTCTGTCATTGTTCTTGCCCCTTTCCCTAGATTTTGATCTTCTGGAGCGGTGCCTATAACAATTCAGAAAATGATGAGAAATAGAACAAACCCTAACAGATGTATGAAAATAAACCTAAGCTGACAAATAGAAATTTACAATACAGACATTATACTACAGTTAACACGTAAGAATTTGTATTCGCAATAAACCAGACTAACACAAAGCATAAGTAATAAAAAAAACCAAAGTAGCACCTATCATCATCTGATTTTTCCTTCCGGTTAGGGTTCCTTGAATGCCCTGAATTCTCTAGCTCTATCTGCATCTCAAACTCAGCCTCAACAGCATAACCAAATAGAGCCGCCATCTTTTTCAACCAATATCTTGGGGGTGGTTTGTCCCAATCTGCCCATTCATAGTCTCCACCAGGGTTCCGGAAACAGTGGATAAAATTGCAGGCAGTTCCGCGAGAACATGTCTGTTAATATAAGACAAATAGATCACAAATGGCAGAGAGAACTCTTTCAGAGCTAGCATCAATAACAAAACACAATGATTTTGATGGTCATTTTCTTTTTCCCAAAATCTCAAACCAACATATCAGGCACAGTGGCAAATTCAACAGAAGCCACTGAAGAAAATAGCCCAACGAGTTTTACATGAAATTAGGATGCTGCAATTACCTCCAATCTTGACTTCATAAATTCTCCACAAATGGCAACCTTCCATCTGGTAATGTTGACAAACTCACATTTTACCTATCATGAACCCATCATTCAGAAAAAGACGACTAAAAAGTTAGGCAAATAAAGAAAGCAAGAATTTAGAAAACCAAATAAATAAATAAATAGACCCATGGATATGGTATTGGTTTTATATTCTTAACAGCTGCCCATGCATATATTCCATTTGCAATTTATAAAATACCGCATCACAGCAACGACGGCCGTATTACTTTATTCTTCATCTGTTGCAAAATAATGGCGTTCCATGTTCCATGAATGCAAGAAAGAAAGAAAAAAATTCTAATCGAACAAATATCTATCTAATGCCAGAGCAATGAATTCAACCCAAAAAAAAAACCCTTGTAGCTAATCAAATTTAACATCTAAGCCTTCTATTCTTTTATTGCATCCTATTGAGCCCCTTAAGCATTACTTATTTCCAAATCCAAATAAGCCCTTAATTGGATACAAGTGTCTTGTGATTAACACCCTAACCCTTTTGGCCAACTAAAAGATACGATAGCAATGTGGCAATGATCACAGGAAATAAATTATCAGATGGCATTAATAAATAAAGGAGATCTCTTTGTCCTTATGAAAGCCCATATGGCCAAAGGTATTTCACCATCTTTATGGCACATGACTATTCCACCTCTTCTATAACATGTGGCAATCTTTCTCTCAACTGGGAAAGTCTGGCTTAACAGCATTATCTACATGCCATTTTTCATCCTAACAATAAGAATAGAGTGACTTTGGATGAGAAAACTAATTAAGGACTTGACTTATACTTTGGACAAAAAAAACTTCTATTCAAAATTGATTTACCAATTAAAAATGGAAGCCATAAATGCCCACTTATCCAAGAGAGTCATTTCACCTTCCATATTTAACCATCAATCATTGTAGAGGAAGAAATATTACAATAGCATCTGATCTATTTCTAGTAAATGATCCAGCTCATAGTTAATTTAAGTAACAAATTTCTATCTCGCATATCGAACAACTATTTCCTCCATATCTAACAACTATTTCTTTGCTTGTTGGGAAAAATGCCCTCAATTTTCCTACCTAGTTGCTCCATTGGCAATAATTTGCATCTACCTTTTCTATTGTACAAATCAAATATAATGAGTTTGACATTTTCTTCAGATGGAAGTTTCTAGAAGTGGCTGTTCACTAGTTCTAAAAGGATGATATAAGCATATGAAATTGTGGATAATTTAGGTAAAAAAATTCTACCTTCCTTATCCAACAATTATTTTCTTGACTGTAGAAGAAGGTGCCTCAAATTGCCTGCCTAGTTGCTCCTTTAACAATAATTCGGTATCTATCTAATCTATAAATATTCCCACTCCAAATGTATGTAAGTTTGCTATTTTCTTGAGACAGTTTCTTAAGTTGCGGTCAGTAGTTTAAAAAATTTGTGGAAATACTCGATCATCTAGAATACCATTAAGAACCAGCTATTCTTATGAATAAATAACATGAAGTGGAAGAAAAAGGAGAATGGGAAGTACAAAGAAAATAAGCAACCCAAGACCATAGAGTGCATCAGAGTAAACAAGTTATATCTCTATATTAGAATGTGAAACAAACCATTTATCAGCAATTCTAGAGGCCAGCACAAATTTTACCCACATAAAATTAAGCTTACAAGCCCAGGTTGCTAAGTTGGACTGTGAGACTTGGAGATACACTTGTTTAATATACTTACATCAATACAAAAGGCAACAACTCATGCGAGATACAGACAATTTTACCAAATTAGAAATAAGAATACGAAAAATGGACAGGATTATAGCTCCACAAGAAACAAAATAACTACAGAACACACAACCATTCCTTGCAAATAATCAAGTTTTTTTGTGGCCAATAGAGTACATTTGATTCATTTTTCTTCTTCTTTTTCATTTAAAAAATCCATACAAAAACCACTTCAATTTAACTGACATAATACTTTTGCCAAATTGTATTGGAGTCCTAACTATGTTTACTGCTTTATTAAGAGTACCTACTGTTTTACGAGTCTTTAAAGTTTAAGAGTCCTTATTATCTTTATCTCTGGGAGGATTTGCTGATTGGTAATCCATCTCTAGCAGATGGGTTTTCTCTAACTTTAGTCAAAGTTGGTCATAATCTGCGTTGGATTCCCCCCCCTGTTGATTTTCTTAAGATGAACGTTGATGGAGCTGTTAGGCTTGGAGGCTCGGGTGGAGGTATAGGAGGTATATTGAGAGATTCGGAGTGTTGCACACTTTTGACTTTTTCAGAGAAAGTAGACCAAGTTACTCCTCCGCTAGCTGAATTAAAGGCTATTAAAAGGGGTATTGAAATTTTTCTGGCTTCAGTTTGGGTTTCTGTTGGGAGATTGATTGTTGAGAGTGATTGCAAGTCGGTAGTGGAATGGATTAAATCACCGGCTTTGGCTCCTGTTTTCTACTTGTCTTTGGTTAATCAGATTTTGACTCTTTCAAATGGCAAGGTTCATTCAGTGAGGTGGATTCCAAGAGCGAGCAATGGGGAGGCTGATTGCTTAGCTAAGAAAGGGATAGGTTGACTGTAAGGACCTGTCACTGGATTTTCTGGTCCAGCGAGAAGGTCTATTAGAAAATTGTTGTTAAGTTTTATGGGATGTATTGTGGTGTAGTGTTTAAATCTTATGTAAGATTATATTATCAATAAAGTTTTTAAGGCACTCTTTTCCTCCTTCCGCTGATTAAGGAGCTTACCACTAAGTTCCTTTAATCAAGAAGGGGGTTTTTAACGAGGCCTTCCATTCCTATCAAAAAAAAAAATTATCTTTATCTCTGGATAAACTTTATCTTCCTGTACTATCTTCCAGTAGAGTATTTTATTAGGAATTTGTTACTGAGTATTAAATAGGGGACATATGTTTACTGTTGCGTGATATCAAAAAATAAGAGCTTCAGTTTGTTTCTTTCTGCTTTTCAGTTTCTCTTTCATTTTTCTGTCATGGTATCACTTGATTCAATCTTGATCAACCTCTAATTACTCATCAATAAGCCATGGCGACTGAAGGACTATCAAGTATCAAATAGTGAAAGCCAAGACACAGATGTAACCAGAGGTGCTACCTAAGCTATTTTTATTCATATATATTCAATTTTCTACAAAACCCAAGATTGAATTAAAATTCAGTTTTCTTTGTAAACCCTAGTAGTAGTGGCACATAACTAAACATAAAGAGAATCAATTACCTGTTTGCCAGCAAAGTATCTCCCATTGATAGAGTCATAAGCAAGGACAGCTGATTCTAGTGACTTATATTGCACGTAAACATTTCCCCTCAAGTGGAATGAACCGTTTTTACACACCTTGAAAAAAAAGTTGGAATCAATAATCTGAAAAGAAAGAGAAGAAAATAAAACAGAAAAGAAGCTCCAGCCACAAAAACAGAACTAAAAGGCATGCACAATCATCTTGAAAACTGACCAAAGGTTGTAAATTTCAAGTAGAAAAAAAAAAGAACGGGAAATCATTTTTATCAGCTTTTGGTTAAATTTTGACCGTATTATTAATCAAAATCCCTGGGAAAATATCTGAAAACGTAAGGTTAAAAAGGAAAAGGAAATTGGAGAATGTTACACTTTATAGGTCAAGTTGAAAGCAAGTTAAAACATCATTAACCAGGCAGGAAGTGCAGCTCGCAACCTTAAAATTTACAATTTCCCCAAATTTTAAGAACTCTGTGTGCACATCCTCATAAAATTCTTCATAACACTGTTCAACCTCTTCATCTGTATACTGAAAAATAGACAACATATCAACCAAGAAATTTTAGCAGTGGCATCTTCAAATAATAAGATCAATAAGACATATAAAACAACCAAAACATATATCTGTAGCTGCATTCATTTACAAGTCATTTGTCAAGAATGGTCTTCACTGAGACCAACTATATTTTGAGAGGGAATAACACAATACGATAATTATGCTCAATATATCACTAGTGAATTTAACCCTATATCATCCTTGTATCTGCGTGGCAACATATAGACAACACTTCTATCCATATATAAAGCATAAAATAGTTGTCAGGAGCACCAAATTTTCAGGCACATTCGATAAACAGATAGATCAGTCATCTATATTGAAATTTAACAAGAGCAGAAATTTTAGTCTGCCCAAAAACCTCAACTAAATATATACTAAAAACATATTTTCTCTTTTAAACTAAATTCATTGAAACAAATTATGTTACTCATTTCCCCGTCTTTGAATCAAGTTTTATATATAATCAAGATATAAAACTATTCCTTGTGACATTTCTTGCTGGCTTAAACATGCAATGTTTCCTAGATTTTATTAAAACCATTCAAGTTTCAAAAGTACACTAAACAAAGCTACACTTAGCATGAGAAACAAATCTAATCTAAAGATGAATGCAATCACTACTCAAAAATTAAAATAAAACAAAATAAAGAAAAGAGATAGGAGAGGCTCATTAAAGAACAATTTTTTTATAAACAAAACAGCTAGGGTTAACCAGCATTGTGTTGATTAGACTACTACTACAAAACAGCTAGCATGCTTCCCTCTTATAAACCAAACCCTTCACCTGCTCTTAAAATCTAAAACCTAATATAAGTACTGAGACAATAAAACTGTATTTTAAAACCAACGTAACTTATTACTTATTTTTTTCACACCAATTTAAGTGTTTGGTTAAGCTTGGAACAACTATTGTTGTCTTCATTTCAAAAGCCATCTGATGTATCATCATAGGTCATTAGATAACTTAACAATTACAAGAAAAACAAATGGGATCTACACCATGGTATGCAACGCAGAATTCATAAGAGTAATAGAAAATAGCAAATTATGAAGCCTAAAACTGAGATAATAAGGCAACATTTTTAACAAAACAGCCTAAGGCATTTTGAATATACCAAGTATGATCAACATAATCATAATTTTCTTTCTCCTTGTGTTATGTACTAAAACAACCTGGAAAAGACAATACTTGTGGACAATGCAACAACTTGACAGTAGTTACACCCTAACAGCAAAATGTGGTCTAACAGTCAAATTCCCCCTCCAATTATTAGAAAAATAAATGTTAAAAACTGTATTGCTTAGTGTTAGGAAAAAATTTCATACACTACAACTAAGTTTCTTTATCCTCTTCCTAGAAATGTCTGGAGTAAGAGAAGGCCAATTGCAGTTATATAATGTTGTTCCCTGCATTCTAGACTGAGAAAGTAATGCCAAAAATAGCTAGAAATTGCAATGAGCATTACAAGTTGAATCAACTAGCTTTGAAGGAGCAATAATGAATAACCATAACTGGAACAAGATTGGATGTGTAACCATGAGAATTTATTCCTCATAACAACTTGAATTATATAATATTTATGGATTACTACAAGACTAGTCAATGTCAATAAAACCAATTGTCTTACCTGATAACTAATGCAACATGTATTCAAATTATGGGCACAATGATTGTTATAATAATATAGTAGATTAAGGCAAAAATGAAAAGTGGAAACAAGAAAGTAGAAATTGCACATATGAAAAAAGGGAAAACGAAAAAAAGATGGAGTGTAACATGATAAAAGAACAAGATAATCATTCCCATCTACAGCAAGTAGGATACACATTAGCTAATAGTTTCAACTCCAACCAATCAACCAATGCCAAAACCAAGAACCTGCACAGAAGTGCCTCCATGCATCTCTGATTTATGTTAAAGAAACTAAATAGAAATAAAACATAATCTGATTTAATATGTAGTTTCCAACTATGGTATATCAATAAAAGAATTTTAAGCGATTCGGAAAATGGAAAAGACAAAAAACCTAAAAACAATGATTCTATAAATCCAAAACATTAACCAATGGCATAAAAAATTAAGACCGTGCGTAATTTTAAAAGCATAATTTGAAGGCATTCTTATGTGCCTTCATATCTTTGCAGTAGTAAAAATATTACAAATTCAAGCTTCATTGAGCAAAGATCCCAAGATATAAATGGATAACGCAGTATGGAAGTAGATTCATAATGAAAGAATTATTATCAGGATACAAGTCACAAGGTTCAGTTGAAGGCAGCATTTACAGACCTCAAGTCCCTCGTCTTGCTCCAATGCAAGGCCAGGACCATTGTACATGTTCCTCATGAGCAGTGTGCATGATTTATCAGGGTAAAAATGAACTCTACTGCAGCGCTGACCAAATCGACAAGTTCCAGTCTTTAAGTGGAAAGGACAATGAGCTTTATCCTACCAAAATTAAAAGCATGAGGTTAGAATGATGATATCTAACTAACCCAATACCGACCCCACCCCTAAAATAGATAGTATCAAGAGAACATAAGGTATGGTAGCAATCCACATGAGAAGAAAGTCTGCATAAAATTCATATTTAGCACTTCAAAGAGATGAATATTGGACCTGTTCAGTTCCAAAGTTAGGTACTTCTTTGGCAACACTCTCTAGCACCAGTTGTGCTGATGATGCATTCAGGTAGTCTGAAAAGGCTTCAGATTGTGGAGGAAGAGGATTTGATGTAGGCCTATCAGCATCCTGTGTGAAAAATTCTTCAGATTCAAAACTTTCGCCAAAATCAGAAAAGAAAACATAGCATGAAACAAATAACTCATGAGTGACTGTCATAGTTTTACCTCAGCTTTACTCTTTTGATTTGCTTCTCCTTTTGGAACCCTAATTTTCTTTTTCCTAATAGTGATCTCATTTCCTTGCCAGATAATTTCAGCAGGCCCTTCTTCTACATATTCCCAATCATCATCCATCTCTTCCTGGCAACCATATGTGAATGTAAGACAACCCATTTATAAATAATAAACAAAACCATTTTCAGGTTCTTTCAGATCCAGAATTCAGAAGAATCAAACAAAGTTCCCCTATAAGAATATGAATATAAGTAAATCGGCCTGGCAGTCAGCTTCCTTAAAGAGCAAACCAAAAGAAATTAACAAACCCAAAAGGCTGAAACATATACTGACTCCTCTTTTGACAAAGTTTTCTTATGAGCTAGAAAATAGAGCTATCTTTAACCTAAGTTTTTTCCCTTCCTTTCTTACCCTCTGCAGCTCTAAAACACCACCAAAAATTAACCAAGAATAATTAGATTATAGAAAGAAGCTGAATACGCAAACCTGTTGCTGCTGTTCTTCGTTGTCATCCTCCTTTAGATCATTCTTTCGCCTCTCCTCTTCTTCCTCGTCTTGTTGAGCTTTTCTCTTAATCTCCATAGCCTGGATCCACGCTCTCTCTCTCTCTCGGAACTCCTTCAATGCCATATCGCTCCTCTTTCGCTCCTCCTCCTCCTCTCTGGCAATCCTTTTTTGCTCCTCGGGGTCGTTGAGCCTGGCCTCTTCCGCCTCCCTCTCCTTCTCCGCTGCCTCCTTCCTCCACTGCTTCCTCTTCATCTTCTTCCATTCTTTCCTCTTTTCTTTTCTGCTTTTTTTCTCGATTGGATGATTCTCTATTCTCCCTCCTCCTTCCTCTTGTACCGAAGTTGCTGCTGCTTCAGCTTCAGTTTCAGTTTCAATTTCGGCTTCACCCATTGTTATTGTTAACAGTTGTTCCCCTGCCTCTGTTTGTTTCGATATGAGTATGTACAATAATTTATTGGTTAAACTACTATTTTAATGATTAAACTATCAATTTTAATCTGCTTTAATATTTAAATATTTATTTTTTATAATCATATATAATATTAAAAATATTAAATACTTTAAATTTTTAACTGTGTATATTAAAATAAATAAAAATTAAACATTAAATATAATTTAAAAAAATAAAAATTTAAATATTAAAACAGATTAAAACTAAAAATTTAAGTATTAAAATTACTCTTCTTTATTTTTTTTAAATCTCATAAAACCATTCACTTCAAAACCCAAATGGTCTAAAATTAATCAACACTCACAAATAAATATATTTTACAATAATTTATATGTTTTACTTCACTGTATAATTTAATATTTTATATACTCTTATTAGATATGATCGTGTTAATTTGACATTAGTTTATAATAAACTAAGTAGTCTCAATGATAAAATAAATAAATATAATTTTTATATGATTTAGATTCGAATAATTATATCTATAGGATATATATTCCGCAATGAATAATAAAAAATCTAAATAGATATTATATTATAATCACATCAAACTATTAAAGAAATTTATATTAATCATATGATAGTACCTTTATCTTCTTATATTTTCATAAAAAAGTTTAACAAAATATTTAACAATTATTACTTGAGTTTCTAACGTATTATTAAGGCTTTTACAAACTATGCATGTGAAGAAAATATTTTTAAAATAGTTTATGTAAAATATTTATAAAAATAGTTTAAACACAAAATTAACCATTAATGTTTTACATTTTTTTTAATTGTTTCCAACTACACTCGTATTGTTTAAATTTTTTAAAATTAAATATCTTTATAACGATCGTTATAAATTAAATGTATCACACAAACTGTATGATAATGAGAACAAATTACTGGTCATTGCGAAAAACTGATACTAAGAGACACGGCAAATCTGTCCAATTAATATTTTGGGGGAAAAATTACCCCATATAAGAGGTTGAAAAAAAAATTCTTCTAAGATTATTACTACAGTACATTATGAAAGATGCATGCATTATTCAACGACATTTGCTTATCCGATATCTTTAGATGTTCGAACTGAAATAAATAAGTACATCTCTAATGTGTGGTATATTGTCACATAAATAGTGCAAGTGTATACATTGTTGAAGTAATAAAGAGCGCTGATATACAAGTATCGATCCCAGTACTAAAAGAAATACTATTGCAACCGAGTAAGTACAAATGTAGATTAATGCTATGAAAACTGCGAGAGCAATAAACATAAAATGGATGCAATAGGAATACAACCACAGAATCAGATCTAAGCGATTGAGGCAACATATGTATCTAGCAAGCATTGTTAGGAAATTTTACCTCTCAATAGCTGAATCACTCGGATAACGCAAGACATCATTATCTTTATAAATCTCGGGATGTATGACCTAAATGATACTAGATTTACAAGGCAACTCGAACTCTCGCCATTACTCTCGTTGTAATCTTGCAACTTAAACTCAACGATGCTCCCACAGCCCCCTCAATATTGTGAATGTTACTCCTAAATATATCTTTGTACTTTTTTATTTATTTATAAATCTAGGGTGATTACAAGTCCATCACATTCATTTTAATGGCTCTGATAACTTTAGTTCCATCTGATGGCAACAACGGGATTAAACAGAAAAGGCAACACCATCCATCACAATTCACAAGCATTGGAACTATTAAGTCCATGCTAACAGTAAATCTCAGTTAGAAAAAGTAGTCTCCAGTTCAAACGTCCCTACTACAATTGCCTCTTTCCGTTCTAAGCAAATTATCAGACAACCATTTACTGTTATGATTTTGATTTTGTCACCACACAAGTTATATCAATATGGCCGGATGAGGTTGACTAGGAACTTCATTACCTTTGTAATGTCACAGCTATTATTTGTCATCGTCCACAAGGTGATGCCTGATAACTTGTCTTTGTTCATCCAACTCGTAAAAGGCTTTAAATTCAGTGCTCGAAAAGAAGGCCTCCAAATTGCTGATTTCATACTCTTCAGCCTGCACATAATGTCATTAAAATCCACTCTTTATCATCATCAGTAAACTAAAACTTCAACTTGTAATACCTTGGCTTGCAAATCTGCTACTTTCACATCAACATAGTTGAGTCTTCGAGCTGATCCAGAAAGTATCTCTTCAAAGCGCAATGCATTGTTCACAAGCTCCCTTAGTAGTGCAAGGAGCAGTCCATGGTAGTCCTTCTTGAAGGTTATGTATTGCCTGAAGCTCTGCAAATTACATTTTGAGTTCTTCTCAGCCTCATTATGACAAGCATATTTCATTTTTTAAGTGATGAAAACAATCAACTTTTGGCCTTCAAAAACCGGAACATATCTAAATATCAATAATTCAACCGCAAGAGCATTACCAAATTTCACTGTTGAATATTTTATTGGCAAAAGCCTGACAGAGAGATGCACATGGATTCCTATTAACTAAATAACGAGGGGAAGTTTAAAAGGTATAACAGAAAGGAAAAGGTAAAACAAACTAAAAACTGCCAAACCATTGGAATAATTAATCAATGTATGTTTCATGCTTGAGATTTGCAAGCCTTGAGAATACCAGATCATAAAAGAAACAAAATACTCTATACTTTCTGAACAAGCTCGCAAGAAATAAAACCATACTGACAGCATTGTAGAATTTTAAAGGTATTTGCACATATGAGAGTTTTTGTAAGAGGAAGTGAAGCTCTGGTTATACCTTTCGTAGGGCCTTTTGTACCCCAAACTTCTGGGTTGAAATGAATGACTCAAGAAGGACTCGTATAGCCATGTCCACATCTTCTTCTGTGATATGCTGCCTAAGGTGCATCCTGGCATGTGCTTCAGACATCCTGATCATCGATTCGATATGCCTCACTGCTATGGGGACGCCTTGTCCACGCTACACAGACAATTAAGAAAACATTGGAACATTGAAGCAAATCACTTTAAAAATCACAAGTAAAACAAGAAAAGGAATCTCACAGATGATTCTTTTCGCAGATCAGCATAAACTTTAGTAAGCTTGGCCATATCCTTTTCATGGAATCTTGGGAATATGTTCAACTTGGCATAGGTTAGATATTTCCTCAGCAATTCTTGAGAAAGAATCTGCAATGTAAACATATTATTTGGAGGATAAGATCTAAAAATTACAAGCAGTTGAAACAGCATAATAGAACAGCCACTATGAACCTTTGAATCAGCTAGTCCAGCAGAGGCTCGAGTCTCCTCTTGGGATTCACTGAAGGCTTTGTCATCCATATTAGCACCCTTAGGTTGTGACCTGAAGTGGCTGTCAACTACAAACTGTGCAAGCATTTCATCTGTTACAGGGTCAACAACATCCTGCAATTGAAACCGGGTACTTTTTAATCCTATTAAGATCTGATAATAGAGCTTTACAATGAAAAATAAATATTAAGCAAAGGGGAATTACCTTAACAACACATAGGATGTCAAAACGAGAGATTATGGGATCTGTCAACTCAACATTTTGAGAAAAAGTTTTTGAGGAATCGTATCTGCAAGCAAGTGTAATAGTTTTATGAACTGATTCGTAACTAAAATATAACAAATCCAGGAATCTAAAAATTAAGAGTTCTATGCCAAGAAGGGGGAGCGGAAAAAACAATAATTAAGAAATAAAACAAGACCAGGCGGTTACATTGAACCAGATTACTATCGAAACTAGAAAACTGGAAACCAAAAAAGCTTATTAAAACCAGTGAAACTGGATTTTGGTTTATTATCAAGTTTGGAAACCAAAAAGTTTCAGCCTTTTAAGCCAAACTTTAGGGCAATTAATTTTCAACCAGTTGAAATAGGAACTGAAAGAGCAATCAGTTCAACCACCAGTTTGGTTTTTTATTCCTCAGGAATAAGAAATGCAAAGCAAATGAATCCAACAAGTGGAGTTAAAATCCAGTTGGCAGGGAACCAGATGACTTATGAAAATGTGGTAACCTCTAAACAATGAAGACACTGACCGAATCATCTCATATATATAAACCATCTATACCTTCCACCAATCGGATTTGCAGCAGCAATAACCGAGCAACGAGCCTGGAGAGAAGTAACTATCCCAGCTTTTGATATGCTAATGCTTTGCTGTTCCATTGCTTCATGGATACTCACCCTGAATACACATATGTTTCAATAATTTTACAGCTCAAGTAATACCCTAAAAGAAGTAAAAGAAATGTGGAAGGTACTTACTGAAGTTATCTAAATTATAGTGCCAAAATTTATGCTAGGCTTCACTTACCTGTCTTGCTCATTCATTTTATCAAACTCGTCAATAAGACAAATCCCTTTGTCAGCTAAAACAAGGGCTCCTCCTTCAAGGGTCCACTCCCTAGTTACCGGATCCTTGTGTACTGCTGCTGTCAGCCCCACAGCAGAAGCACCTTTGCCAGTGGTATAGACAGCCCTCTGCCCCGTCTTTTCAACATACCTTAAAATAAGATACTTAAAATTTTAAACGCATGTTAAAGATATCTGATTCACACCAAAGAACTGAGAGAGCTAAATCATACTTTAGGAATTGTGATTTTGCTGTGCCTGGATCACCTAGAAGTAGTACATTTATATCTCCACGGAGTCGATGTTTCCCTTCTACATTTTTCTCCTGGCCTCCAAACATAGCAAGAGCTATTGCAGTTTTTATGTCTTCATGACCATAGATTGAGGGAGCAATGGACTTTATAATCTAAAAAATGGACCATCAAGCATTCAAATCAGAAATTGACCAAAAGATCACTCCAATATTTGTTACAAAAGAGAATCACAGGTCGGAATAAAAGAAAGTATTATGAATGACAAACCCTTTCTCCTATTTGTGGATCCTTGGCCAACCTCTCGATGTCTTCCTTGTCTTCCTGAGTGAGTTTGTAGGCAGAAAAGAGATCTTGTTTCTTTGTAACATAGTTTGCCTCAACCACGGTTGCA